ATACGCAGAACATGTCCAAACCATTTTAAGCTGGATTTTTCGATTCGATCCAGTACTGTCTCCTCCGATGCATTCATGATACGCCTGACCTCGATGTTTGTCTTTTTTTCCACCCTAGATATACCTGCGTTTCTTCTAAGGTAGTCCATTTCAACAACTTGGATTTTGCGCTTCGCGTCTGCACTCAGAGTCCACCGCTCTGAACCATAGCAAAAGAACTGACTCCACCAATGTTCTTCCCAAGTCTCTTTTAGTTGTTGCAGATAAGTTTCTGGTCCCACCAGAGGCTGTTAAGACATCCAATAACTTGTTTGTTCTTCTGAATTCGGGTTTGTATTTCTTCTTTGCCCAAACCCTCGTTGTTGATAGTAGCACCCAGGTATTTAAATTTGTCTACTTATTGAATCTGGACGTTATCATTAATGAAGACTTCAAAACAAGCGTTGGAATTGACAGCTAAGTATTCGGTCTTCTTTAGACTAACCTGAAGTCTGCTGACCGAACTGTTAATGCTTAGGCCTCTATAACAAGTGGGGTCGTTACGATTTCCCTTTTTAAAGATGGACACTATGTGAGCCACTCGCCATTCTCGGGGTAGTAAGTTTACTTTGCAGGCAGCACTGGTTAAATAGCTCTGCCAGACGCCAGCGCAGTCTTTGGGTTCCACACTTTAACAATTCGGCTACAATATTACCAGGACCTGGTGACCGTCCATTTTTCATTCTTTTGAGACTTTGATGTACTTCTCTTTTGCTTATCATTAAAGTGCCTGCAAGGTTGTTCTCATCTTCTACTGCTCGGAATTCTGGTCGGTTTTCTGTCAGTAATTTTGCATAGTAGTTGCGCCATTTTTCTATATCCATTCTATTCAAGAGCTTGTCCGTTTGATTGGTTTTCATTTGTCGGATTGTTCTCCATACCTCAGTACTCCGTGCGCCCCCTATTAGGCTTTCCACTTGCTAGCACCTTCTTTCCCAAATATCTGTTTTTCCTACCTTAATGGCGGCTCGTACCTCTCTATTTTTTTGCTTGTAATGACTCCAGTTAGTATCTGTTCGGTTTGAGAGCCATCTTTGATAGAATTTTTGATCTTTTTTTTTCTGCATGTTCTGTTCACCTAAAACTTCGAAAGCTACTTTTTTAATTAGGGTTTTTAGGTTGTATACTTTAGTTCTACATCGTTACAGATGGAGAGGTAACCTCTGTAAAAACCGTCTCAGATACTGGCTTTTGTAAAAGCCCTGAGATTGTATGATGAGTTATAACCCAAGAAGACAGAAGAAAAGGAAACACAATACAATTTACAATGTTAAACCTGGTCCTGAACTGTGAGTATGAAAAACCGAGCCTTAACAGCTATAGAGTCCTTACCTCAACAAGAAGTTTCGTGCACTTGACATCCGTTATAAGCGGTATAGAGTAATCTATGGCCAATCTTCTAGTTCTATATCCGTGGGTCATAAACGAAGACACTCTCCTAGCTCCACCATTCCTCATGGGCAAGTTTATCACCAGATCAAACTGTTTTTTGGACAGGAACTCTGCCAAAGGAATCAACTCTGACTCATTGGTGATGTCGTCGATGTTTTCGAAAGTCCACTGAACTGACTCGACCTGGAATTGGAGAAAAAAATACTAATTATATAATTTTTAATTAATGTTAAACGAAAAGAATGGTTTTTGGAGATGTATAGTTGTATATTTAGGCTTTAATAAATTAGAGTAAGATAAGAAAAGCAAATAGAATTGAAGATAATTATGCTATAAATATGGTTAGATGTAAAGCAACTGTCTAACCGTAAAGCCATACATACGGGTGTCATTGAAATGGTGTAAAAAAAATCGGGGGGTGATAGTACTCCTAAAAATAGTAAAAAAAAGTTCCTATAAGTATAGGGCCGAAAATGCATATTATGGGAATTTAAAAAACGTTTGTTTTGAAATTAATTTTTTTTTTCGAAATTTCGAAAAGTATTTTTTTTCGAAATTTCGAAAAGTATTTTTTTTCGAAATTTTATCTCGTTTTTTAAGCCTACAATTTCAAAACAACCGTTTCTTAAATTCACCCTTTCAGTGCCCCTAACTCCCTTAATATGCATTTTCCGCCCTGTACTTATAGGAACTTTTTTTACTATTTTTAGGAGTACTATCACCCCCTGATTTTTTTACACCATTTCAATAACACCCTGTATAGCATTTAAAAGAAGTTTTACCTGAAATTTTGAAAATATCAAATAAGAAATCTGGTATTAGACTTTTTTACTGTAGGTCGTCCTGTATTTGTTCATTTCCAAATATCAAAATCTGACTGTTATCAATCTTATATTAAAGATCATATATATCCGATTAGAATACAATATAGTCAATTTTCTAGAAAACATTGTGACTAAGTAATAATCAAAAATAAATCGATTTCCTTGGTTCAAAAGCCATAAAAAATAATTGCATCTATATAAATAGAACAATGAGTTCTAATGGACTTCGGAGATATTGAAAATCATCTGAATTATCAGAAAAATGCACTGACTTTGAATGTGTATTACCAAAAATTCTGATAAAAAATTAAAACAGGTAAATTTTTTAATGTGATAAAATAATCATCAACATTTAATTTATTTTTCATGTAGATAAATATCCTATGACTAGCCCACGGCCACACAGAAAGCGTTTTTAGCGTTTTGCATTTTTTGCGTCTCAAGTGCTTTTTGCGATTTTACCGTTTTAAGCGCTTTTTTCGACTTGTGTCCATTACAAACACGCAAAAGACGCGGCAGGTCTGCAGTTTCTATCAATAATGTCAATTAGTAACGTCGCAAGCTCGTGGATTCCCGGCCCGTCCAACAATCAATCCTGTGAGAAAGAGATAGGCGAGATCGGCGCCGTTAGCGTTGAAGAGACGAAGATAAAAGATGCTGGGATTGAATTGTGGACGGGCCGGGGCTTATATTCGGAGACAAACACAATCTACCGCTAGTGCCAGTGGTGTGTGTAAAAATAATAATTATTATTTGCCATTTATTTTACGAATTTTAGTTTATATGTGTATAGTTTTTTGTTGTAGTGTTGTGGTTAGTACTTGTTATAATTATAATATAATAAATAATTATAATTATATAATAGAATAGTAAATATCTCTAGTTGCTAATGCAATTTTAGGACATGATTTATGAAACATTTTGGAGTGAAACTTCTTTACGCGCGCTGGGAGTAAAAATTCAAGGCCGTGACATACGAGCTAGTGAGACGGCCCTGACACACGAGCTCGTTGTAACGAAACGTGTTAACGGCTTAGAAATACGTAGTGACGCGACGTGTATTTGTGAGCAGTCCACGTGTTCATCAAAAATATTGATATTTTAATACAAATTTTGTAAAAGTGAATCAAATTATTACGCGTAAAAAAACATTTGTTACACGTAAAAAACTATTTTTTACGCGTATAAAACTATTTGTTACTGATAGAAAACTATTTTTTACGCGTATAAAACTATTTGTTACTGGTAGAAAACTATTTTTTACGCGTATAGGACTATTTGTTACGTGTAAAAATCTATTCGTTACACATAAAAAACTCTTTTTTTACTCGTCAGCAACTTATTGTTTCTGGTAAAAAACCTTTCTTACGTAAAAAAAATATTTTTTACGTGTAAAAAACTATTTGTTACACGTAAAAAACTAATTTTTACGCGTCAAAAACTTATTGTTTCTGTTAAAAAAACTTTTTCACCAAAAAAATATTTTTTACGTGTAAGAAACTATTTGTTACACGTAAAAAATTATTTTTTTACGCGTCAAAAACTTATTGTTTCTGGTAAAAAACTTTTTGTTACACAAAAAAAATATTTTTTACGTGTAAAAAACTATTTGTTACACGTAAAATACTATTTTTTACGCGTAAGAAAATATTCCTTTAATTTATTACTTTTTCAACATTTCAACCTACACTTTTTCAAACATTTCCTTCAAATTTTTGAATTTAATAGAATCTTCCTAAACAGTAGATGTTCTTTATAAAAATATTTTTAGATAATAATAATTTATTTTTATTGTATTATTAATATAACATCCGCCTATGACGGGGTCTCATCTTAGAAAACGCTAAAGACGCTAAAGAAAACAAACTGATTTGTTTTCATTTGCGTTTTTTGCGAGACACGCCGAACGCTACACGCTTTTGGTGTGGCCACTCCTATATAATCCTGTTACTTTGTTTTAGTCGCTAAAGACGCTTCACGCTAAAAACGCATAAAACGCTTTCTGTGTGGCCGTGGGCTAACACACCCAGATGCAAAAAAAACGCTAAAGTTTTTAAAGTGTTATATTTTTTTACTTTTAGCCCTATTTTCATAAGTTTCTTAGCAAACTGTATATAAATCAACTTGAATTCGGTAAACTCAATTTTTTATAACCTTTAGTCACCTTTAGTATTTGGCTTATTATACAGGGTTAATTCAAGGGTTCTTTTTTACCCTAGCTTTAAAACATCCTGTGCAATAATTTAGTGGGTAACTAAATTAATTTAAATATTAATTTATTTAATAATTAAATTAATTTAATTATTTTAATTTAATAATAAATTTTTAATTAATTAATAATTTTAATAATTTAATTTTTTTAATATAATTTTTTTCTACTATGACGTCATGTATGTATTGGACAAACGTCACAATTCATTAAAATTGTTCTCAGAACAAATACATAACATTTCTCTATATGTACATAAACCGCTTAAATAATTGATAAGATATAAAACATCTTTTAACGCAAATATAATTGGTTCCTAGCTTCAAATTAGTCGTCTTCGCACAAAAACCGACGATGATAACAGTACTACCGGTACTTTTAGCGTTGATCCGTTATCAGCCATAATTATAAATTTAAATCAGTTATTTTAAAAGAAATATTTTTTTTGGTTTATTTTTAATTCAATTTTTTTGGCTGAAAATGGGTGTAAAAAATTCAAAAACTGTCTTTTTGGAAGTCTTGGAGAGTCGAGAAACGTGAACAGTGACTGTGATGTGAATTTTTTTGACGGTAGTGATTGTGCTATTTTGAATAGTTACGATAAAGAACTGATCAGTATAATTAAAAATGATCTGGACAATGATCCCGAGATGTTTGTGCTGAACAATGTGCTGATGTGCACGGTGTTTCACAAGAATTACAAGCAGTGAGTGTTAATTATTTTATTAAGTGCATTAAATATTATTTTTTTGAATCATGAAAACAGTGGTTTAGGGGTGGATTTTTAGAGGTGGATTCTTACGTGAAGAATTTTTTTTTTTGATTGATGATTATTCATTTTATTGATTTTAAGGAAAGCACTGTTCATTAAAATGTTGTATCCTATGCTATAGGGCTTGTTTCTCTCTACAATTTCCTGTCTCACAATGTGCCATTTGTATCCGGGAAGGGTTCATAGTTTAATAATTGTCGATTTTCGAAAGAAATCGGTACATGTATATTATTTCGTATATTTTTCATTTTGTTGATTTTATGAAAAACACTGTTCATTAAAGTGTTGTATCCTATGTTATAGGGCTTGTTTCTCTCTACAATTTCCTGTCTCATAATGTACCGTTTGTGTCGGGGAAGGGATCATAGTTTCATAGTTGTCGATTTTCGAAAGAAATCAGTACATGTATATTATTTCGTATATTTTTCATTTTATTGATTTTATGGAAAGCACTGTTCATTAAAATGTTGTATCCTATGTTATAGGGCTTGTTTCTCTCTACAATTTTCTGTCTCACAATGTACCGTTTGTGTCCGGGAAGGGTTCATAGTTTCATAGTTGTCGGTTTTCGAAAGAAATCAGTACATGTATATTATTTCGTATATTTCTCATTTTATTAATTTTATGGAAAGCACTGTTCATTAAAATGTTGTACCCTATGTTATAGGGCTTGTTTCTCTCTACAATTTTCTGTCTCACAATGTACCGTTTGTGTCCGGGAAGGGTTCATAGTTTCATAGTTGTCGGTTTTCGAAAGAAATCAGTACATGTATATTATTTCGTATATTTCTCATTTTATTAATTTTATGGAAAGCACTGTTCATTAAAATGTTGTACCCTATGTTATAGGGCTTGTTTCTCTCTACAATTTTCTGTCTCACAATGTACCGTTTGTGTCCGGGAAGGGTTGTTGAAAAATATAATATCTTGATAATATAGCAATATTGGGAGTAGAATAAATTTACAAGAAAGGAACTCAAAAAAGATCCAGTTGTTTTCAAAATTTAAGCAAAAAAAAACATTTCATTTAATAAAATGAAATATATTTTTTACAGTCGTTGGTATTTATGTTGTGGTGTTTGAAAAAATTCGATAGCCCAATGACATTTATAAACGATAACCACACATTACTAACATCTACAGATGCCCATATTTAAAGGAGTGTTACTCATCAGCAGTGTTCGATATGTTAACTTTTCTTAACTCTACTTTTCCAACTATTTTTAAAGAATTACTTCACCAGCTGACTCACATTATCACCAAAAAATTATTTTAGAACAATTCAATCCAATAAATTATTTTTCATCTGAACTAATTAATTTGTCATCTCAATTTAGTACGCGTACATCTATTTCGCTGTTTATAGGGTATACTAGGCTAAAAACAACCATTTTTATAAGCTTTTATTTAAGTTGCAATGTTCGTATACCCAGTTATGCATCGATTTAGGACATACCTATAGGAAATCTCATGTAAATTTTAAGGGTGTCGTTTTGGGCTCCCCTATTAATTTTAGAGGAAACTTTTAATAGAACTTTTTATAGTACTGGATAGATCTGGCCACCTATCAACTCTAAAACTCTTTAAAAATTAACTTGTACATGGTACAAATAATAAGGGTACAAACATAGTGGGGGCAGGTTTCTGCTTACCGGCAACCAACGCCGTCTTAGGGTACCTATTCTTGACCACTCGCATCTTCAAATATCACTCGCATCTCGCATCTCCGAAAAAGCCATATAACAGCGCTTTCAGATGGAGCGGAGCGTCCGCGACGGACCGTCCGCTACTTCGAGCAAGTACCATGAGTTTATATGAACAATTTCGCATGGGCATTGTAAGGGAAGGTACACCATAATTGGAAATGGTTGAATAAGCTGAAAATGATGATGATGACATTGACATTTTTATTATTTCTCACTACTCTCTATTTATTATCTCTCACGATTTTGAAGCAATATTTATTCTGAAATGATTGTGGTCCAACTTACTCAACTTTCCCCTATAAACAAGGAAGTATAGTTACTTTTACTATCATTATTTGTCCTATTTCTGATAATTATATACTAAACAAATTATATAGTATTAAATGTTTTTGTTTCATCTGTCTGATAACATTGATGAGGGATTAGCAAAAGCTTAACTCTATTTTTTTAACTAAATAAATTTTAAGAAATTTTTTCTCAGCACGAGCAGTACCGAATTATTTTTGATTTGTTCCTTTTTTATTGTTCTGTTTTTATTGTAATAAATGGAGTTACGTCTAATCTTTCATTACGCATTGAAAGTGTTTTGAAAATTATGAATGTATTTTTTGTTTTTTGTACAGATTGTCTTGAATTGTTTGTCTGGATAATACAAACGCGTCAATTGGAGATAAATGAAGAAAAATGCTGGAACAATAAACATGTTTTGTATAAAAAATAACTTGTGGTTTGGTGACACAAGACATAAATCGAATATGAGAGCATTCTTCATTATTCATTTCTTGGGCAATATTACTAAACGGATTAAGCTTGATTTTCATGCAGCCGGTATTCGACGATACGACGATACGATATTAAGTTTATTGGTTGAATTTGAAGACTTCGATTGGTTAGAAAATTACGCAGTTTTGAAATTTACTGCATTTTCATGCCTCCGTTCATCGTATGTACGACTTAGTTGTAATTGGTGTCGTTTAATGTTTTCATTGCCATAATGATTTCGCTATTTTTCTTATAGTCTAAGAACGAGCAACGTTTTCGAGAGAGAAAGAAAGCTGGTTCTTTATATCCTTTGTAATGCTCTCCTGAACAGAATGCCGACCGTCGGGCTGCCGGTAGACGTTACCTTCACTACTGCGCATCATATTTGTATTCAACATCTGTTCACTACTGCGCATCACAAATATTCGACCTCTATTTCAGGAACTAAGAAGGCTTGGACAAACATATGTGTAGCATATTTAGTTTCATAACAAAGTAGCAAAGTAATATGAAAATCGCATCATAGTATCTCTGCTCATAAACGAGAAATACCATAAGACACACAAAAATGGGATACCCTGTACTCCTGTACAGATGTGATGCGCAGTAGTGAGCCGCAGTAGTCTACCGGCAGCCAGACGGCCCGCACTTTGGTCAAGAGAGCATAGCAAAAGATATATATTACAGAACCAGGTTTCTTAAAATTCTCTTTTTCCCGACGCTGCTAGCTCTTGTATTATTATATTTTTAAAGTCAGGTTAAATTTGTCAAAACGTCCGTTATCGTACTATCTTTCTCCGTTGACGGGCTAGAGTAAAAAATTTACGGATGAAAAGTGGAGTAAACACGCTATGACCAATGAGAGCGCCGTCGGACCATCGTGTCAACGGATAACGGACACATGAAAATCAAGCTTTATCGCTGGGCTCAGTAACAGGCAACCAGAGTCGAATTTGAGACATCTCTGGTATAGAATACATTTTTGTGGACTCTGGACTAAAATAATTCATGAATATTTAAAAAAATAAAACATTCTAAAGATATTATCGATTCAAACAATCTGAAGAAGTACAAAACAAATATCGAAAGATAACTATTTTAAAAAATGACAGGTCCCTCATAGAGAGTCTGCGATAAGACCTCAAAAAGATTTCTCAGAAAAAAAAATATATCAGATAAGCCTAAATTCATGTATCTCCTCTTAAATTTGTACAAAATATATTAAAATCGAATTATTAGAACGATATAAGCCTAAATAAATAGATAGGTGCTCAGAATATCAATTATAACATATTCGAAACGAGATGAAATTTCATGATATTATCAAGATAATGTGCAAATTATTACAAATATGTAAATGATTTTTATTGGTTTAAAAATTCTACGTATTAATATTTATAAGTAATCTAAAAAACAAAAAGTTGTTGCAGTATTATTATCATCGCAAAAAAATACCGTATGATCGAAAAAAACGGCGTCGCTGGCTGGGAAATGACGATCGATGACATTTCCCATAAAATTTTACATATAAAATGACAGCGATCTTTATTTCGTAGTCACCGCTGACGCCGTTTTTTTAAAAAAATTAACAAAATAAAATATGTTGGCATCATCAACTAGAATCTTATATCGTTGATTAAAGAAATTCTTTTAATGAACGCTCGTACTAACATTAAGCAGAATTTATATATGTATTAACAAATAAGGCAGAGTACGTGCCAAGTAATGGTGTCTAGGGCTTGACCTCGTCAAAATTATCATCGATTGTCATTCTCCAGCGGACTTTGACGCCGTTTTTTTTTATCGTAATTTACTTTTTATAATAGTTCATGTCGAGAAATACAAACTACATATTACGAAAAATATTTTTTAAACAAGAACAATGAAAAATATGAAAACCTTTATTTCTTTATTGTATATCATATAAAATCAAACTTTTTATCTTTTAAAAAAACATAATAAATCCTCAAACAATCAAATTGAGGCCTATTTTATTACAAATAATCGGTGTTTTTGATCCACCCATTAATAAAAAGATTTTTAGGATGCAGAACGCGTTATTCACACTCGCTCAAAGGATAAATATGTGTTTTTTGGGAATTACCATTTCCAAGATTCGTTGATTTTTTTCTAAAAGCATTTTAAAAGCCTTAAGATGTATAATCTCTAGATATTATTTACACAAACTTACATGCTTTGGAGTACTTTAAAAATGTTTGATTTTCATCTTTGTGTGGGATAACAGCTCAAAATTATTTAAATAAAATTAAAATATTTTTACAATGTTTGCAAATCATTAAAAATTTAAAATTTTCATTTTTTGTAATTTTATAAACATGATTCACATTTAACATTGCAAAATGACGTATAAACAGTTTATTTAGCAATGTTTTTTGTTATCATATAATATTTATACTGTTTTTTTAACAAATTTCTTATCATTTCTCTTCTATATACAGGGTGAGTCTTAAATAAGGGCAAATTTTTTCAGAGCTGGTAGATTTCGAAAAAAGAAACATATTTTCTCTTTAAAATTTTTCAAATAAATCCAAAATAACCGAGTTATTTTATTTTGAAAATAAAAAAATATGTTTTGCTTAAATTTTGAGAACCACCTTTTCTGGGTTTTCTTTCTTGTAAATTTAATCTACTACATATGTTATTATATTTTTATCTAAAAAAAAATTGATTCGTAGCTACAAGCCCTATTTTTATTTATATGTTGCACTTTTTTATTTGATTTTTAAAAAATAGTATTGTTTTATCTTGTTCTAGGGATGTCTACGAATCTCTAATCTCAATCCAACGATCCCAGTCCGAATTCCTGGAACCAGATGTCATCATGGAAACAGTAAACAACAACATAACCTACCAACCCGTCCATGGACCAAAGGAAATACACTTCCCTTATGCCGAGAGATTGTTAGAATGCATGCTCAGACCAGAACAAATCAAATGTTACATGGTTCTTCTGGCTTTGCACAAAGAATACATTGAAACCTTCACGAAAAAAAGAGGTGTCCTGCCTGAGCATCTACTAACTGTAATTCTGCATGAATCTGAGAGAAACTACGATGGATGGCCTGATCATCGTTTGGGAACAAAATTACGAAATATCTGTAAGAAATTCTCCTTGGCTTTACAGAACAGGAAACTGAACGACTACTTCATCAGAAGGAAGAACTTGTTTAAGAATGCTTCCAGAAAACATCTAGAGGTAGCTAACGAAGTGTTCCATAATATTCTTCAATCGCCTTTGATGATGATGTTGAGAGCACTCCGAAATATTCGATATACCAACGAAAATTATTATTCTCCTTTGAACTATGAAGACTTACTGAAAATTTTGTACCGGCGTGATTGGGAGAACTTAAACATATTGGGTGTTCTTAGTGATGGGAAGTCGTTGGGTTCTCAAGACTCAGTTCAAAAGAAACCTATGTTTGATGATGCGGAGAAGCAGTTGATATATGTGAAGCATATGAGGAAGAAGCATATTATGGAGGAGAAGAATGAAAAGAGTGAGAAGAAGATTAGGAAATCTAAATCTAGTTACAGTGTGATGGAAGTTAGAAGATCTTCAATAGACAGTATCAAAGACGATGTAAGTGAAATTTTATGTATTTCTATCTCATTTTTAAGTATTGTTAAGTTTCAAATGTATTTGTTTGACTTTTTATTATAAAGATAAGTTGCGAAATCGCTAAATGATTTCGATATTGCTTCAACTCAATAACGATTTTAATTCAAAAAATTGTAGTACTCTGATTCTAATTCCAAATCAACTAATTTTCAGTGGGAATGTGAAAAATCCTTACACAGACAAAAGAAAATAGCCCTATTGAAGTTTTTCATCAAAAATTTTATGGAAATTGCCAAGACTAGCTGGAAGATCAGCACCAAAAAGCAAACCCTATTCTACGTGAAACAAGCATATTATTTGGCAACGATACTGAAAGAGGAAAATGAACTCTTTAGAGAAGAAGTAGATCAAACTTTTGAGGAACTAAGGAAATTAGAAGAGCAGTGTATAACTGGTATAGAAGAATGCGGGGTAAAATTCGAAGAAAGTAAAGAAATGATACGTGAAAGTGGGAGTGAATGTGTGAAATGTGAAGTTCACTGTGAAGACAATGCTGATATTTATATGGATATTCAACAACAGATAAAGGAAAGAAATACAAACTTAATATCTTTAAGTAAAAGTTATTCTAGAGCTTTTAGTTATAATAGTAAAAGTATGGAAGAAATAAATGAAATAAGGTGATATCTTCTCAAATATTTTAAGAAAAAATTCTAAATTTATGGCTAGTGATTCCATTTTTTTATAATTCACTGTTTCTTTAAAATGGGTTAAAATTATTATCATTTTGCTTGTGACATTCTTGTGAAACAGTGTATTTTTGTGAAAAATCTGTGAAAATAAAACAAACAGTTTTTTTACATTTTGCTTGTACATGATGGGTCTAAAGAAAACAAACAATATATACTATTATGATTTATGCACTTATACGATAATTTATATGTCCTTCGGCCAAAATGAACTGTAGAACAGCCAAATGAACTGTTCAGAAATGTTCAAAAATATCATTTTTTTTAAATAACTCCAAAGATAATAATAAATAACAATGAAACAATGCAGTGTAAAATTTAAAAGTAAATTTAACACAATCGGCTGTAAATATTAACTAATTGCACCCAAGTAGTGTGATTCCCATGTAGATTATCTAAACAAATATGTATCTTTAACTATTTGCAAGTTTAAGTTTACACCAAAATGGGAATCTTATTTTATAAAAAAAAATTTGAATTAAAAAAAAAGAAAAAAAAACAACGCTTTATTGTACAAAAAGCCAAAACAGCTTCATCGACAAAGCAAAACAAAAAAAGCACAAAAACAAATATACAAATAATACAAAAATGTCACAATACAATCAATTCAAAATTTACGTCATAAATTACAAATAAAACATATATGGACATTACAGAACACAGGCGTATCTAGAAAATTTTACAAAAGGGAAAACTGTAAATGGATAAAATCATGTTATAATAACATAAATCAAGAGTTATAAAAATACAAATACTAGACCTTTAAACAGTGTGTGAGTCGATTCAACATTAAAATTAAATTAAACAAGTTCATGATTAAACATCAACAAAAGAATCGTTTACCGCATATAAGTATACCGCTCTCTCGAGCTCTCCAGTAAGTATGATTCCAGAGCTTTGCGAAATGCGGGAAAGAATGAAAGTGACTTGATATTCGAAAGCAAATGATTGTACATTTTCTTGGCATTGTAGAGTATTGAGCCCTCAATCCAGTTCTGAGCTCGGGTTGGCAGATAAAGATCGTGGTCTGCATTCCTAAGTGGATAGTTGTGAGATGGTCTTTCGGGAATAGCAGATATATATGTGCTTGTGGATTAAGCAAACGGATTCAAAAATGAATAAGGAAGGAAGAGTCAGCATTTTGAAATTCTTTTAAAGAAATTCTGGTGAGTGAGTTCTACTGTTTAGTCCCATTAAGTATCGAACTGCTCTTTGAAGTTTGAAAAATACGATCAAATTTTGTCGCGCAGCAAGTACCCCAGGATGGAAGGGCATAACGAAGATGCGACTCAAAAGGGCATAATAGACCATTCTAGAGGTTGATGAGTTAAGTTCCTTAGACACTGATCTCAGCGCAAAACAGGCAGAGCTTAGTTTCTTTGATAAGGCTTCGATGTGCAAGTCCCATTTTAAAGAGTTGTCCACAACAAGTCTTAAGAATCTCACAGAGTCCACGACGTCAATAGTGGTGTTATTAAGTACAAAAGGTTGTATAGTACTTTTATATTTTTCACCAGAAATAAAATAGGGCCAAGTACTGAACCCTGAGGGACAATTACATTCGTATGGCTTTGCTAAGAAATATTATGAGGACTAATCACAAGCTGCCTCTGTTGCCAAGATACGACTAAAGCCATTTGAGCGGCACTCCCCTGAATCCATAGTTTTCCGGTAATTTGTTAATTAAGATATTATGATTTGCACATGCCGAAAGCCTTGGAGAAATCACAGAAAATTGTAGCTGTAGAGTGATGGTTATTCAGGCTAGAGTATACATTATTAAAAAGGTCGAACGTAGCATCATTTGTGCAACTGTTACTTAGAAATCCAAAATTGATGGTAGAAAGTACTTTATATTTAAGGGAGAAAAGATAGAAGCCTTTTTTTGACCAATCTTTTCAATGATCTTGTAGATAAATGTGTGGGCAGGGAGAGCAAATTAAGATAGTTCGAAGCTTGATCTTTATCTCCTCCTTTATGCAGAGGTATAATTATTGCTGTCTTAAGGCAGTTTGGAAAAACTCCTTTTGAAATGCCTACACTAAAGTAGTAAGATAGATTAATGTGCATTCCGGAAGTTCAGAGAACATTTTGAGAGTAAGCCCATCAGTCCCAGATGAGAATTTATTTTTAATACTTTTAATTGTACTACGGAGCTCATCTAATGCTGTTCAAAAATTATTATATTAGTTAAGTTAGCTGATCAAAATTTGATTACTATTAAAGTTGGGTAAACTGTAATGTTTTGTAAACAAAAATGACATGCTGTTATAAAGATCCAATATTTGATGATAGTTTTATTATATTGTAAATTGCAAAAGAAATAAGTAATAAAAAAATAAGTGATAATTGTTATATGACAATAAATATATACACCAATATAGCATAGATAAAAGAAAATAATCTACTATTAAGACCAATATAGACATTTTAGACTGTCATTGTCATACATGACAGTGACAATAATTGTAATGGTTTTACATTACCATTTAATTATTACATTACAAAGAAATTTTATATAATAATTTTATAACATTTTTATATAGATATATACTAATTTATTTGTATATAATAGTTTAAGATAATATTATATAATTATTTATATTCAATTAAATGTTAAGAAATAAATATTATTTGCTACTGTCTGATTTTTTTTGTTATACCTATGAAGTATTAATCTAAATTTATTGATAAAAATCAAAATAAGTATTTATCATTTTTTATACAAATTTGTTTGAAATGTATGTTTTTTCTGTCTATTTTAAACAAAGGTTTCAAAATTATTTTGAATCTTTACGTTGATCAATCAATAAGACGGTATATTGGACATGATTAGGTATTTCTGAGATGTATATCTTTCACTTGGTAGTGAATGTAAGAGATAACATGAGAGACGGATAAATAGAATATATTATATTAAAATAATTATAATGTATTTCCAAGATTCACAAATCAAATACTTGTCAACTTATATGTAGAATATAAATAAATATTAATTTTATTGAAAAAAAAATATCTGATAGTAATTTCAAAATATTATGTAAAATTTACTTAATTTTATAGCACACACCCTTCATATTTTGTCCATATTAATATATTTGTAAAAAATATATTAAAATAGATATTTTCATTCATTTTTAATGTTTTATAAACATTTTATATTATATATATATATTTTTATATTTTTTTTTAGAATTTTTTTGTTTGCCTTTGTTAAAAAAATTATCAGAACAAAAATCCGGAAGTCCAATCTAGAAAGATGAAACTTAAAAATAAAAAAAAAAAAAAAAAAACATTTTTTCACAAAAAAATAATTTGAATTCATCTTAGAGTATATTATATTTGACAAATTATGATAAAACGACGATAGGACTTGACAAGATACGTCAAATTCTGAGAAAATTTTTTTTTTTTTTTTTATATAGATTTTTTCGTATTGTATTGTATAGAAATTAAAGAACAGAATAGTTTTTCTGCACCTTTCTCCTATAACTGTAGAGAACAGGTTTCCTATTTCGTGCTAAATTATTATTTTATTTTCAGTAAACAAGTAAATATGG